ACAGAGCGAGACTACGTCTCAAAAAAAAAAAAAAAAAGAGACAGGGTCTATGTTGCCCAAACTAGTCTTGAACTCCTGGCCTGCAGTGATCTGATTCACCCTTCCAAAATGCTGGGATTACACATGAGCCACTGCACTTTGCTGGGTTTAGGTTTTAAAGACACGGTCGTGCTCTGTTGCTCGGCCTGGAATGCAGGAGTATGATCATAGCTCACCGCAGCTTCAAACTCCTGGGCTCAAGCAATTCTCCCACCTCAGCCTCCTAAGTAGCCAAGACTATAGGTGCACACCACCACAGCTGGCTAACTTTTAATTTTTTTAAAAAAGGCAGGGTCTTGTTATGTTGCCCAGGCTGGTATTATACTCCTGGCCTCAAGCAATCCTCTTGCCTCTGTCTCCCAAAGGGCTGGGATTACAGAGGTGAGCAACTGTGCCTGGCCCTACTTTTTCTTTAAATAAACCATGGGAGAATTTCCATCAATACAGAAAGAAATAAAATAAGTTGTTCAACTTCTCAACCCTCCCTCACGGGCGTATGACAAAAGAGGTTAGAAAAAGCAAGTCTCAGGTGGGCGTGGTGGCTCATACCTGTAATCCCAGGACTCTGGGAGGCCAAGGCGGGTGGATCACTTGAGATCAGGAGTTCAAGACCAGCCTGACCAACATGGTGAAACCCTGTCTCTACTAAAAATACAAAAATTAGCCGGGCGTGGTGGCATGTGCCTGTAATCCCAGCTACTGGGGAGGCTGAGGCAGGAGAATCACTTGAACCTGGGAGGCAGAGGTTGAGTGAGCCGAGACCACGCCACTGCACTCCAGCCCGGGTGATAGAGCGAGACTCTATCTCAAAAAAATAAAAAAAGCAAGTCTCCTTTCCTGTTAAAGGTTTGTTATAATGAAGCATCCCAGAGGAAAAATGTATCTTTTTTTTTTTTTTTTTTTTTAAGTTTTGAGACAAAGTCTCTCTCTGTTGCCCAAGCTGCAATGCAGTGGCCTGATTTTGGCTCACCGCAGCCTCCCCCTCCCGGGTTCAAGTGATTCTCCCACCTCAGCCTGGGACTACAGGCACACGCCGCCATGCCTGGCTAACTTTTTTGTACTTTTTTTTTTCAGCAGAGACGGAGTTTCACTATGTTAGCCAGGCTGGTCTTGAACTCCTGACCTCGTGGTCCACCCACCTTGGCCTCCCAAGGTGCTGGGATTACAGGTGTGAGCCACCGCACTCAGCCAAATGTGTCTATCTTTATTACAATTACATCCAGCTTTCATTTGACCAAATGAGGCTTTACCATACCCACCAATTCTGCAACTTCCTTTTTCAACTTCCCAGTCCATCCTGAACAGCATGGCAAGTCAATCCAACTATAGCTCCCTGATTCCTAACGGTGCCCAGGATGACAGTATATGAATATATGCTGACTCTACTTGGTACCTCCCCTGATAAATGAGTACAGCTTGGTTTCAGGTTTTGCCACTACAATCAAGGTCACAGTGAACGTCTTCACCCAATCTTGGCAAACTTTGGAGAGCACAGCCATGAGGAATGTTCCTCACCGGGGGATTGCTGCCATTCAGCAACTTTTTTTGAACTATAAATACCCTATCAGCCTGAGTCAGGTACTCCAGTGGCCAGCTTTAAGGCAAGGCTTTCCTGGAAACAGCACCCCAAACAGTGCAGTGCCACCCTCGCCATGTGGCATGGCTGAGCGCACCCAGCCCGATCACACAGCACTAGGCTTTGAATGCACTTCAGCTCTGCCACTCACAGCAGATGGCTGGAAAGGCCCTGCTGCATGCCCAAAGCCCGTCACATGGACTGACCACCCTAAATGACATTCTGGAAATCCAGATTCCCATCAGGACCCCACAACTTCCTTGCCCTGGGAAGCGTCTCACTCTGTCACCCGAGCTGCCTCAACCTCCCGGGCTCAAGCGATCCTCCCACCTCAGCCTCCCAAGTAGCTGGGACATACCAGCATGCCTGGCTAATTTATTTATTTTTTGCAGAGATGGGGTTTTGTTTTTTCTGTTTTGTTTTGTTTTGTTTTTTTTTTCGAGGCAGAGTTTCACTCCGTCACCTAGGCTGGAGTGCAGTACTGTGATCTTGGCTCACTGCAACCTCCGCCTCCCAGGCTCAAGAGATTCTCCTGCCTCAGACTCCCCAGTAGCTGATATTACAGGTGCTCGCCACCATGCCCAGGTAACTTTTTGTATTTTTAGTAGAGACGGCGTTTCACCATGTTGATTGATCTCAAAACTCCTGACCTCAAATGATCCAACTGCCCAGCCTCCCAGAGTTCTAGGATTACAGGTATGAGCCACCGTGCCCAGCCCATTTTCAGGTCTGAAAGTGGCTCTTGGCCAAAGTAACCGGACACTGACCAGCCACATGTGGAGACCACTGCTCCTAGGACAAGCAGCAAATGATCACAGCTGACAAGAGCTTGGATGATCACCCTTGGCGCATGCATAGCCCACACAGACACACCGGCATCACCCGCATTCTCCAGGCTTGAGGACGTCTGCCAACCCACCCCTGCAGAATCACCCCTAGGATAGACACTGAGGCAAGTGCTTGATGTGGGGAAACTTAGCTGGTCTCTGAGGCAACCCCTACCACCCTACACACAAGGAAAAGGAGGCATGTTACATGCACTGTCACTGACACACAGACACCGCTTACATACTTCCAGGTGGAAATAAGTTGCAGAAGAGCAGGGAGAAAACCAAACTGAGTGCATGTACACGTGTGTACATGTTTCAAAGAGGAGATGACAGACGTGTACATGCACAGGAACTTTCTGGAAGACTTCACAGGAAAACTTTTCTATTTTTTACATTTATTTTTTGAGACAGGATCTTGCTCTGTTGTCCAGACTGGAGTGCAGTGGTGTCACCACGGCTCACTGCAGCCTCGACTTCCCAGGCTCAAGCCATCCTCCCACCCCAGCCTCCTGAATAGCTGGGACTAGAAGTATGAGCTGCTGCGCCTGGCTACAGGAAACTTTACAAAGTCTGCTTCTGGAGGGTTAGATGGGAATGGGGATGAGGAAATTTTTTTTTTTTTTTTTGACAGAGTCTCCCTCTGTCGTCCAGGCGTGCAATGGCACACTCACAGCTGACTGCAACCTCTGCTTCCCAGGTTCAAGTGATTCTCCTGCCTCAGCCTCCCAAGTAGTTGGGATTACAGGCGTGTGTCACCACACCTGGCTAATTTTTGTATTTTTAGTGGAGATGGGGTTTCACCATGATGGCCAGGCTGTTCTCAAATTCCTTACCTCAAGTGATCTGCTTGCCTCAGCCTCCCAAAGTTCCGGGATCACAGGCATGAGCCACCT